AACTATTGAGTTTGGCATTAAAGCTGAAAACAAACCCGTTAAAAACCGATTATTGAAGTACCACAGTTGAATGCGTGAACTGCCGTTCGAATTTTCACGCAAAAAATACAATTCATATAACACCGACATCAAGTGATCTTTTAAAAAGACCTTAGATCGTGTCAATAGTCATGTTTTGGGTCTAGTAAACCACTTATTTGGCTATTTCAGGACATTTCGAAAAGTGAACTTTTGCCAGTCTCAGACCGCAGAGGGGCGCCAAGCATAGCGTTATGCGCTAAATTAGAAGTTATTCGGAGTACCCAGTGGATTCAAACAGGCCGCTCTCTGCGCCCTAGCTCTTATTTATATTTTGCTGGTACGTACATTCCACCAGACAACGACCCCATGCGGCTTAACACAACCAATAAATTATCTTTGGAGTGAGATCCCATCTCTTTGGCTAACATGTTGTTCACAGTCCACCAACTTATCAAAAAAAAAGGTACGCCCCTGTAAACCATTAAATGCGCAAATGTACTTCAATATAAATAATTTAGTATATAAAGTATATTCGAAACATTTCTTTTGCACATTTTTTGTTCCCAATAATAACGACATATTTTACACTATACCTATTTCATTTTAACAATTCCAAACATTTTAGAAACCACTGTGCATGTTTAAAAATCACACTCGTCCCAAAAGCTTCCAGGCAAACATCAAAGTTTGCAGCTGTTTCAGGTTGCCAGGGCACATTGAGGCACCCGAAGTACATCGAATGAGAGGCGAAATTATAAAACACAAAAGATACTCTAACATCGTACTTTTTTTCTGGTGCAGCACACACAGGCCGCCCGGGGCAATAAAGAATCGAAGCTGTTGCAATGAGTAAAAATGTGGTTGACTATTGCGGCCAGGAAAGCGGCACCGCAAACACACGGCGCACTGGTAGGGCTGCTGAATGTAAATAAAAATCTGCGCCATGGCATGCTATGCCCCCCACATGTATGTAGAGGTACTCATGTACATATGTATATATGTACATATGTGCACTAAGCACATATCGTGAACTTTTGAAAAAAATAACTTAAGTGATTTTGAGGAGTTTTGATCTCAGAGCAGAAAATGCCAAATTTCATTAACAAAATTTTATATACTTACATCTATGCATTCAAAAAACTTTATTACGATGATAATACAGACTTTAGCTCTCGCATACCAATTAGCGTTCCAGTTATGAAAATTTTACTGAGAAAATTCCCGAATGCGACTTGTTTCGTTCTTTCAGATTCCCACTTATTTGTATGTACATATGTTTAAATACCTATATTTTAGAATTTGTGCACAGATGCGCAACGCATATGTCACATGGGATTAAACGTTCTACGTGATATGATAAGCTGTGAAACAGATGCCTAAATGACACGCACCCGAGCGCACAATCTAAATTTGTAAAATACATATATTTCACATTCACACACACATTGCCACTCAAACAAAGGCCGTTAAGCATAAATCTGTGTGTCTCCTTTTTGTAATATAAACTTATGCCCCAGCGCGCCTCAAGACACTTGCTATAATCTTTTCATACTTTCTTATCCGCTTTCTCGCCTTCCTGCCCCTTTTTTTTGTTATTTGTGGTGCTTCACGTCTTAACTTACACCGCTGCGCAAATACTCAACTTGCAAAATAAAGCATTAAATGTTTTGTTTTTTTTTTTTGTTGTCGAAATTAAAAGTCAAATTACACAAACACATACGCGAGTATCTGTGTATGAATGTTTGAGTGCAAAATGTCTGCTTCCGGCAACTTATGGCGGCTTATAACTTTTTTTTTTTAAGGTAAGAGATTGGGAAAAATGTGCGGAATTTACGAAGACAAAGTTCTTGACGTGATATGATATGTGTAATAAATTGGATACAGGAACATATGGAGATGCCTATATTTTTAACACGGGCATTGATATGTATTTATGTAACGGCACTTACGTTTTTACAAAAATAATTTACATACTCATGAGAATTGAAATTTTTATCTTATTTTGCCGCGAGTAGAATGTGCTTTTTAATACAAGAAAATTTTCTGCAAGACATAATCTCGGATCGATAAGCAAAATAACATGTGGCACTCCGCATCACATCACTTAAAATATACTACAATATATATATGTATTTATAATAAATATAGTCTTTAACAACTGCAATAATAAATTATTGGTATGGAACTTACGCTGCCTTAGCATAGTAAAATGAAGATTTAGTTATTTTACTATGTAAATGATAAAAAAAAACATTTTAAAGAAAAATTCAAACCCAAGTGTCACTAGTTATGATTCTAAAAATTCTACCGAAAAAATTCGAGAAGCAACATTTAATTTTTGCTCAATGGAATACATATTCATCTACGGTTTTTCTCTAGAAAATGTATACAATTTTCGAGTAAAGCCTCTGGAAAATAACGTTTTGTAAAATCATGGATAATACTACATCAAAAACTCGAAAAATGGAAGTTGAAAACACACACTGGACTGGGCTACAAGTCTGCATATGCAAATTTATTCAAACAGAAGAATTAAAGATAGAAATATAACATGAGCAAAAACAAAGAAAAAATAAAGATATGCTCTTTTTTTTAAAAAAAAAAAGCGGTTAGATTTAAAGTAAAACATAAAAGTTACTCTCTTCAGACAAAATTCCTAACCAAAAATTAAACCCTTTTCCCAAGTAGGGCTAAGTATTTATGAAGGTTCTATGGAATTCTAATATCGTTCGCTTGATATAGAGAAGCCTTGTCTCACATTTTTTTTTTTTTTTTAATATTTACGGATTGTGAGCTACCTGACACTTTTGGAAAAATCTGGATATTGTAACTGTTACAAACAATGGATTTTAAAATCTACTTACAATAAGTGTTTCTAATTTCAGCGCTGGTCAGGTCACAGCTTTTTTTTTTCTTTATAAAAATTAAGTTAAATTCTTGGGAGATCGATTTCTTCTTCGTACTTCGATTATTTCGATTCGAATCGATTCAAAAATTGTTTTTTTTTTCAAGACTGTTGAAATAGATTTTCCATAACCGGCTACTGAATAGGGGAGACATTTGCTCTTTCTGGATTATTCGCCAAAATATAATATAACTCTTAAAAATAAAGTAACATCTAAATATATGTTTGAAAAACAAATTACGAACTAATTGCCTCCTCTAAAATTGCTGGTGCGAGTTTATTAAATACTTAACGAAATTTAAAATACACAGACATTTCCAAAAATGCTGCCCCGAATCATCACTCAATGCGAGTGTTTCCCCTCCGAAAAATCATAAACTATATCTCACATCTAAGATTTTGTACTTCTGCAGCGTTTTTTTCAAGTAAACCCACAGCCCATCAGACGTGAGGAGTCTCAAATTGCTTATGAGACGATTGAATCTGGTCAACCAGTCTCTCGGTCGTATCCGGTTACTTCTCAATTAGTCTCATTTGGGTCTAAGGTAGAGTGGCAATGTACCGCATCCGCGAGGTAACCTCACTTAACCGGGATGGTAAAGGAGTTCCTGTGTCAACTCTCGGCACGCTTGAGGTCATCTATATGGAAACTCGCAGGCACACTTGAGCTTCAAATCTGCTTAGCAAGCGCTAGGTTAACGCTCCACCACGCAAAGTTTGCAAAACCTTCTGTACGGTCGTCGGTCGCTGGCAAACAACTATCGGTTCTAACAAATCTCCTGACCTGGCGCCGTTAAAGAGGAGACCATGCAGAACGGATTAATAATGTTTCGCGTCTATTTTTCCTTAGCGGTTTGCGAGATAGAATCATCTGATTATTTCCTACCCAGCCGCCCTTCTTTCACCGAACGAAAGTTTTAATAATTCGACTCGAATTTTATCATCACGACCAAGGAACTGTTTCAGTACTCAGTACTTTTTCTAACAACTACAAAGTACTACCAATTGGTAACAAAGTGGGCACACTTGCGGGTCCGCATCACAATGTATATTCATTAAAGACCGTGATGCCTTACGCCGTCCATGACCTAATGGCAGAAATTAAGTAGTTACTGTCACAGCTTGAGACCAAATCACGGGTATGAGGCTGTTACAATGACCAGACCTTATCTTTTTTCTTCGTCTGTCTAGCGTTGAAGGCAAACTTATTAGTTATATATACGACAACGCAATCACGAAGTTGGCTAATGTTGCGAAGGCAGCTTTCGACGGTAAAAATGTCTGTTTGGAAACCTCTTTTGCCGGGTATCCAACAATGCATTGCTTCAGCTTCATCTGGTAGTTTTCGTTTCGTCATTAGTACTAAGCTCACAGAAGACATAACACTTTTTGCTATGGCAGCTACCTTTAAGTTCGTCTAGGTACCTTCTGTCTCAGTTTAACCCGGTTATCTTTGTCAAAGAAGCCTTTAAAAGTGTAAGCTTTTAGCTTCGCATCCACAGCAAAGGTACACCTTCTCGCCTCAAGTTTGTTTCTTATAAACAAAACACTTATAAAGAAGACACTCTAATTTTCCTTTAAACAATTAAATGTTTCTCTAACAGCATGGTTATACTTATCAAAGCATCTTACATATTTTCAGTTAAAATATGTCTGTCACAAGTTTCGATGTCAAGTTCATTTTTCACAGTCATTCCACCAGCAGAAAGCGAAAAAAATGCATACCCTTTCCTTGCGTCTCGGCCTTTCTTCCACGTCAATTCAAGTTGTAAAAAGCCTTTGACGGAAATAAGAAATATAAAATTGCATGAAAATGCGAACGGCTTACCTATGTATCAAAAATTTATAGTCTCACATACACTGCATATCGTTTTTGCGGTTTTCTCCAAGTATAATGTGTGTCTTTTAAGTCTGTTGCCATGCCGTTACTTTTTTGCTGAAAAGCCAGCAAAAGAGCCATTCTGTATTCCTTTTCAGGATTTTTAGTTACTCTTTTCTCATCTTTTTTACTAACTGCAAATCCATCTCATTTTTCTCACTCTCCTCTCTCTCTCCCTTTCTCTTTTCATTGCAGGCATGAAGCCCCGCATCAAGAATCATTTTCGCGCGCATCAGCTTTCGATTTGGCTGCGGCTCATACCAGAGTTGCATCGTACCGGCATGGAAGATGTCATTACGCGTCACAATTTATTTAAAAATCATGATGACATGGATTTGTATGAAGGACCTGTGAAACCGGATCCGTTTGCCTCGACACGTCTGCTACTCATCGATGATGCGCTGTTGCGCAAGGCTGGACGTGGCGGCAACTTGACGGCCGGCTATATAAGCGGCGTCTTGGGCGGTAAGTTGCTTTTCATTTTTCTTATTTTTTGCTTTAGTGGTTGCGGAAAAATACCAAAGGCAAATATTTAATGCAAGAAATAACTCGCACATATAAGTGCACACAAATGTACATTAGGGTGGTCCTTAAAGACCAAATGAACGATTTTTTTCAATCTCATCCCCTCAATCGGTAATACCGCGGTCACAGATATCACATATAAATGTTGGTCCTTATCGGAGACGGTTAAGGCGTGTCGCAAAGGGGTCGAAGGCCAGATGCCTCCATGGAGACTAAAAAAATTAAAAATATTTTTTTTTCATATAATACCCAAAAATCGATACTACTAAAGTCAAAGATATCAGTTATAAATTTAGGTTCCTATTGCAGTCGGTTAAGACGTTTTCATAGGGTAATCCGAAGCTTAGCCCCTTTGCGACACGCCTTAACCGACTCCAATCGGGGCCAAAATTTATAAGTGATACCTTCGACTGTTGTAGCAACGACTTAGATTTGAGGCTTAGGAAATCTTATGAAAAAAATTGCTTCCAACATTTAAGGACCACCCTAATGCACATTCAACGTATGTTGACAGAGTAAGAGACCCTATGTAAATATGGCATGCGGGCATTTCACTGCAAAATGTGCAAATAAAATATACATATATATATATGTATATACATATATGGTGCATACGTATGTATGATGTGTGCGCTTAGAACGCCTCTTTTGTTTACTCAGTCACCCAACTTGCAAAAAAATGCCAACGTAACGAGTATTCGCCGCATTGACAAAGGTACTCGGCTACGTGTCGGTCTGCCAGTCCGGTTGTCTGTCATTTGAGTCAACCACAAACATACAAACAATTTGGCGCGGTTGATATTTTCCTTTCAGCCCAGCGGCTGATGAACTCTCGCCACTATCCCATTGCCCGTGCCATTTCGCCTATCCTTGCAGGCATCGGTCAGCTTTCTGTCTATGTTGAGGAAGATGTGGGCTAGGCCACCACAATTTGATATTTCAATTGGTTTGCCGCAGCTGAACATTCCTTCTGGTTATTTTCCACTTGTTACAACCAGCACTATGAACGTGTGCTGACTTTTATTGTCAGCTGTTAAGTTAACTCGTCACATTGTTTTTCCGCTTGTCTAGTTCCCAATGTAGTAGATGGGCTCGTATGAAAGTGTCAAATCACTGGGCAAGTGAGAAAGGAAGCCGCATATATCGTCACTTTATACCCCATGTATGTATGTATGTAGATGTTTACTCTCAACTCAGACACGTGTGCAAACAAGTGAAGAAACGCGCCTCCGAGAAATATACTGCTCTAAGGAGAAATCTTAATTGATTGCTTAAATATTTGAGGCCATAAATACTAGTTTTAGTTGACAGCTATGAAGGAAAATTAAATATTTATGAAAATAGTTACACAGATGTCAAAATGTGTTAGCTTAGTTGACAGTTTTGATGCTGGAAAGCATAAATTTTCATAAAGCCAGAAAAAGTAGGTAGCTTTTAAAATTTATCTGCCTTTCAAATATATTTCTTCAAAACAAAATCTGTGTGTAAAGGGCAGAAAAATTTTGAAACCTTCTTGAGAAAACGGCCCTAAATCTTTTGGTTTTGAACTCGCAAGCAGAACCTGTGGTCGGCACAATTCGAAAGCGAAATATCAATACGCATCCATATACTTATGTATAGACTGATTTGACCCATATATGTATTGATTTTAAAAAGGGATATAAAAAATACTAGATTATAATTGGGTTCACCAGAGGGAGCAATGGACCTTTATAGGGTTACAGACGTTCGCTGAACAATGCATTAATTAGTAGCCTCGAAAATTACTTTGGTGAGGTACCGTGTAGATCATATCAAAGCTTTGTAGTGGCATATAATGTTCTCTACTGTTGCCTGTGCTTCGCCACACAGCTGCTTAAGTACTCTGCAATGACCATTAAGAAAGCCATGCTGTCAGCAGCAGGATAAGGACTGTGTCATACATAGCTATATAGTTGGGGCAGAACTTAGCTTGGGAGACATAATTGTCCTTCCAGATGCTGACGAATAGAAGCCTACTGGGCTATTAAGCCATAGATCCCTGGTCGGGCTTGTGGCCATCGGTACACTGACTTTGACGGTACCCTCGGCGTTTATGTTTGTCGTTTATCGCACCAGTTGAGTCTGCTTTGCGTGGAAGATTGTAAAGTTGTATTCACAGTGGTTCCTTGGAGTGCATCCAACAACAAAGCTGGCAGCTAACCCTTGGCCCATTAAACTGAATGTGGAAGTTGTCAATTTTATAGTCTCTCCATGTCCGGCTGAGATGACCTTTACTCACCAAACAATCAATATATTCATAAAACTGCGGGCCAAGTATAATAAAACTGCGATTTTAGTCTCTTTTTCTGACGTCAGGATTTTTTTTTAAGGACTTTCTAGTTACTAGAATATGATTGATTAAAAAAATTATTCAAAAGATTCGGTTCATTGTAGAATAACAATATGGGTATCAATTAAAAGAAAAAAGTCTGTACAATAGAAAAAATATATATTTTTTGGGTGCACCAGGGCGAATAAGTATTGAAAATGTCCTTTCTAAAACTTTATCCTTGAATATCCTTGGAAATTTCAAATATTTATTTTTGAAAAAAAAATATGTCATGGACTAACATGTTAGCTACCACATCCTCGAATTTCGTCCTTCTAACTTTATTAGTTTTAAATTAAAAAATTGTACAATTGTATGGAATCATGTATGCACTCTAAAAGAACAAACTGTCTTCTTCTTCTTATTTGCCACTAAAAACGTTGGTAGATTTGGATCGAAACCAAAGCACTTCACCATTTGCATCTCTCCTTTGGGTGTTTCCGCCACTTGTTCGTCCTGAGTGAGAGAACAGGTCCTTCTGCACTTAGTCCTTCCATTTCTTCGCAATATAAATTCATTAAAATGCCTTAGACTTAAATATTTTCCAAATACTTGTAAAAATAAATAAATATTGATCAGCTGAAGGAAATGTTGTTTATAGAATTCCACACGGTACTTGAATTTTCAGTTTATTTTTTACCGTAGTAGTTCAAAAATCTCACATTTATTTATCCCACAAGTCAATCATACAAATTGCAGTTCTTAAAGTCTTTTATCCACTCGTGACTCTCTACCAAATCGTCACGCCACCTTAAACACCAACGCACAAAGTTGTCCTCCCTAAGCATTTCTGTTGTTGACACTTAAAATTTTGACAACGGTAACGGATATAGCCGTACTTACGTAGCTCCTCCACCAACAAAAATGTGTTTTAGCTTAGCGAAGAGCTGTCACAGGTTCTTTTTTTTTTTGAAGCTCTATAATATTTCGGCTGGTGCCCGCTGTGCCACGTCACGCCCACACTTTTAAGCAGACGAATTTATATTGAACTCAAACCTTTTGATTTGCTTAAATTCCATCTTCGCACATTTGATTTGTATTGTCTGGCTTAAGGCGAATGGTCAAGTTTTTTCCCCATTTTGGTTTTCGCCTTGCCTTCTCACTTGCATTGTTGCCCTTGACATGCCTTTGTTATGTCACTATACTGACATACATATATGAATATGTACATATCGATAGTCCTCTGCAATAACAACACAACTCAAAATTTCATATTTGCAGTAATTCTGTAGGGACAGTTTGTAAGCTTTCAAATTGGACTAAAAAAAAATCCGAAATTAGTAACAACTCCTAAGTAGTTAAACGAAAAAAATCTCCATTTGTATTGCTGAACAATACACATAAAATCATCACAAACCTATCGACAGTTGTTGACTTATGCCAATATTAGCGATAAATCTGAGACATGTGCCACTGTTCAATGGCAAAATTGCGGCCCTGTCGATTTGCATAGAAAAATATGTCGATTTGTCACAGAAAAATATGGCTATTTATAAATCTAATCCGCTATATAACTCAAATAAACATGAAATTTTGAGTTGTGTCGTTATTGCAGACGACCGTAGATATATATGCATTTGGGCACATACAATTTATATTTCCCTCAAAAGTTCGAAGTTCTGCATCCCTTTCAATTTTCAACAACCCTAGGCGTAGTACATTTCACCATACACATACATACATACATACATACATACATACATAGATACCACTCGAAGCTCATTGCTGGCGTTGATGGCTTTGTCTCGATATTGTAATTATAACATTTCCTTGTTATTTCCTGTATCGTTTGCTTAGTCTCCCTTTTGTGCTTTTTTCCGACCTTTTGAAATTTTGATGACATACGGAAAATGGAGCCTCGGGTAATTTCTTGATATTTGAGGAAATTGTCTTTTAATTTCATTTTTTTTCCTTTCAAACCATTGTCACAAATTCAAATCCAACATATGCAAATTAATATGGACAAAAATATTTATATAGCTACATATTTACAGACATAGTTATTTATTTGGTTATTTGTACGGCTATCAAATAAAGTTATTCAGTTTGTCTTCTTGTCCCAAAATCACCGTTGTCTTCTTGAACGCATATAAATAAATAATACTTGGCAGCTTTTGCGAATTCTATACTTGCGTGTGGATGTGTGAGCACACACGCATACATACCAAAGCAAGCACACATCTAGAATTTTATTTTTTTTTTCAATTTATAATTGTTCTTTTTATTTGTATTTTTTTTCAGTCTCTGTCGACAACAAATAGGATACGGCAAAGTTTAATTGTTTATGTAAAGTTTTATTTGAATTCCATGGTTTTGACAAACGGAAATTGAAGTCGGTATTGTACAAATCTTAGACTCAGATAAATGTTTTTGTTGTTGTTTTCTTTTTGTATTTTGCTTTCAAAGTTCATATTGAAATTTACGGTATTAAATTATTTAGATATTAAAAGCTTTTTACCTTCATACATACAAATGTAGGTCACAGTTTAACGCCTCAAATTGATTTATAATTAATTTTAGATTCTCGTTACCATTCATTTCTTATATAAACCTTTTCGGACTAAATACGATTTTTACTAATAAGCGCCGC